GGCTCCGAAATCTGGTCCACGGCCCCCTGCTGTGATTCCTGGCAAATAGCCAGATGCGGCCGCAACGCGACCGCGCCGCATGATCTTTTGCCCCTGTTTGGACGCGAAAACGCTTGAATTTCACAATTTGATACTATTTTTGGAATCCTCAACGAATTTTGATCATTCCAGACTTTTAAATTATGAAAATTGATCAGAGAATCACCGAGATCGAGAGATTGGGTGCCTTACAAGGCATTACGACATGTAATCGCCGCGCACTCAAAATGTCGTTTTTGCCCCAAAAAGAATTCGGTTTTTCTCAAACATTTTACGTTTTTTCGCAATCAAATCGCTTTTTTGGCACTTCTCGGCAGTGACCGTTTCGTTTTTTGACCCGTAGGTTCAATCCCCGCACGCACGAATTTTGACTTCTGAGCCCCTTTAACCACGTTGCGCTTTTCGTTGTTTCCGGGACTTGCTAATGGAGTTTTTGGACATCTCTCTATTTAGAAAAATGTTGAAAAAATTTAAAACACGGTTTTTTTGCTATCGTTCAGCTATTTCTCAAAAATCAGAATTGTAGAGAATTTTTAGCTCTATCAACTTGACTAAATCACCTATCAAAACGCCATATCACCTAACCGAAAACGAAAAGCGCACGAGATCTACCGCTCTTCTGAAGGGTTTGTGTCTCTTGCTCTCTTCAAGTTGTCTCTTTAGACACCTCATTCATATTATTCTCTTTTGCATGTCTCCTTATAAAAAGTTTCCCCTCAAAATCCTCCCCTACACTGTGATTCCCATACAATTCTTGGTTGTGCCCCACCCGCCCTTCCGTCCATATTTTAGGCTATATGATCCAAATGATAAGTGATATACCCTTGCACCAACCAATATGCCGTCCTCCCTTGTTCCCACGTTGATGATTCTACGCGCGCCCTGTTTGCACATTTTTTAGCCGTGTGCAAAATAAGAGAGAGTATAGCAAACTTTGCCTGTTCGTTATAGCTGCCAGAATGCGGATAAAGCCATCAGGTTATGAACAGCGGGGTTTTTTTGGGACAATTTCCTCTGTTTCGGCGGGCGAGGTGGCCGGCGAACCACGGCGAACTTCGCCCGGCGTACTGCGCCGGCCACCTCGCCGGCAAGGGGTCGGCGAACTTCGCCGGCGAACCAGCCCGGCGAACTTCGCTGGCGAACCTGTGCGAGCTAGCTGATGCTTCCTCCCCTTGATTATTATTCATTCAACAATAAGAATCTACCAAGAAAACACGGATTAATAGAACCAGGATGAATTGGACCCAGATAGCGACTGATGAAGAGGGGCTTAAATCAATTTATCAACAGTAAAAATTTAACAAGGGGTGAAGAAATTAATTTCCTGGCAGGAGAAGCGGCTTGTGGTGGCCTGAATTTGATTCGAAATTGTACCTTTTTGAGATTGTCCGAAGCGAAATGTGTGTTTGGTACCGGTTTACGCTTTCGGCGGTATTCCTTTACTGACCACCTTCATCTTCGGTTTTGATCAACTTACCGCTACCTTACCATTGTTTCGTAGGAGAGCTGACGCTGCAGCTGTTGGAGCGCCGGGTTGTCCCCATGCCGTTGGATCTGTCGCGTTAGGTCTTTTCCGTCCATCAGTTCGGGAGCTACCTGAAGGGTGTCGAAATCGATACAGGGGTTTCAAGCAATTACCTTGACGGTGCCGTTACCGGCCTTTGCGACATCATTTTGTCATTTGATGATTAAATTCGAATCTAAAGTGTTAAAAAGCCACTTACGACCTCAGCCAAGATGGCCTTCAGATGGCCCAGTAACTAAATGGATTTTTTTTATCTATAGCTACTTACGTGCCACTTTAAGGTAATATGTGTCGACTCGCGTAACGCATCGATTCGCATTCGCATTCATTCGATTAGATGAACGCATTCGATGCATTGCCCCTTCTCACCTTCTCCGTTATGTTCGCTCCCTATAAATACGAATTTTCCATCGTAACTCGCCGATCCTGATAATCTCCGGTTAACCCAACATTGCATCGTATCGAACCCAACTTATCACATCGTAATAAGCTGGTTTCTAATAACATCACAGACCTGCGTATTCTTCCATTTCGGCACGGTATTCTCCATACCTCATCTAGATCCGGATTCATCGTTCACCGATCGTAATATGTTGACTGCCGATTTATTCACCGCTTCGCTCGTGAGCTTTCATTTGACGGCCTGATACAAAATAGTATCTTTCTGCAAAACTGTAGGTTTGGCCATGATCCCATGTCGACAGTTGGTTTTGCAAATGACTTCAAGACTTTTTTTCTCGCCGTCCGCCACTGGCTCGCCGTAGTCTGCCGGCGAGTTAGCCGATCCTCCTTTCAACTTTTCCGGCGAACGTTGTGGTTTCGCCGCATGGCCTTGCTGAGCTCTGGTTCGCCGGGCTACCGAGCTGAGAGGGTTCGCTGGCCAAAGCCGTTAAACTGTGCTCAGCATACCTGCCTGTATATTGTTGAGAGCTCGTACTCAGCTGTTATGGGTGTTTAGAATCTTTGATCAATGACTAGATCAATAATGAAACCCACACCTTTTATATCTATTTTTGCAGGTGTTTGGGGCCGCACGAGGCTCATAAAAAAACAATCATCCTGAAGATAAAGTTATTAAATATGAACATTCAAAATTCTTTATTTTTGCAAAATGGAAAAGATCATAAATGCTGGTAATTTTACAGAGGTAGATGCCTCTGAGAAATTTCTGAGTTAATAGTGTGCAAAGACTGGAATTTATTCTGAGGAGAGGGAGGATAGCTCCTCGGAAGATAAAACAGACCACGCTGAGGCTCCAGTTGATATTATCGCCTGAAAAATAAGTCAGTCTCAGATTCTCAGCCATGGGTGCTGATGGCTCCGAGCGAGGATATATACAGCATGATGTGATGCGCTTGATAAAATATCTCGTGTATATTTAGGGCAAAGATGGTGGTTTGCTAGTAAAGGTTGCTGGCCCCAGAAATGTGTCGAGGTCTCTGAAGCAAGGAGCAGCTAGTTCTTCAGGTGGTATGGAGCCTGCGCTTGAATTTTGACATCAGGTTCACAGGTTTGGGGTTTTTCAACGACCCAAAGAGGATCCCCCATGCAGAATCGCCAGCAGAGAGAGCTTTTAAACCGCCTTTGATATTAATAAAAAGCTCTGAAAAGCCAAGAGAATTTTGTTTGAAGTATAGAAATTATGAACAGGGCAGGTCGATCTGATATAGAATTCTGATTTTCAAACTATCCCATCTGCTTTGGCGCCAGAAATGAAACACAAACTGTTAAACATCTATATAGTCACCACTGACTGTTAATACTGAACCATAATCTCCAGCCAAAGTTTATGCCCACCGCCAGAACTTTGTTTAGATTTATTGTAGGTGGCTCAATTAGTTCCCATATGATGCTGACGCTCTGATTGAACTGAGGCACAGGAAAAAAAAAAAATTACCGGGGGGGCAACCCCACTTAGTATTACAATACTGGGGTTTCTTGACTATACACCCCCTCGTTAATACAAAAGCGCCCTATTTCCAGATCTGGGAGCAATGCTGCTCAATTGGAGGTACCTGGGTGTATAATGAAGAAACGGGGACCCATTCGAGTATGTATGAAGTGATGAAGACGAATCTACCAAAAGAAACAATGGCATTCCCTGGTCATCCATTTCCTCATCATCTACCCTCATTTATCACCCATCAACAAGTTCTTCAAGTTAGTATATCCATTAATATTATAGTTTATTTATACATATCATTGATTAATTCTAGTATATAACGAAATATGGGGATCACATCGATGTTCAGCTGAAAACACGTGTTTTGAGGGTTGAAAGGAATGGCGAGAGATGGATGGTGAGTGCGAAATCAATCAATTATGTAGTAGAATAGCCAAAACTATAAAAAGGTTTGTAATTTTAGGTAGAGGTAGAGAAAGAAGGTGAAAAGAGACAAACGGAAGTGGATGTGCTATTTGTCTGCAACGGCCATTATTCCCATCCAAATCGACCATTCGATGAGAAACGCTTTACAAGTCGGTGAATTGTCTTTTTAAAGCTTAATAACATTATTTTAGAGGGATCGATCGTTCACAGTCACGACTATCGCTCGAATAGAGGATATCGGGATCGAAAAGTGGCTGTGGTTGGGGCTGGGCCATTGGGGATCGACATTGCGCTGAGGTCGCTGAAGTTGCTCAAAAGTATGGAGAACAGCTTTGAAATTTAAACTAATAGCAGTGATGTGGGCTAAAAAAGGCAAAGAAGAATTGAACAAAGTCGATAGGGCAAAATATTCCAGCGAAGCTCTGAAAAGTTCAACTTTAGGTAATTCTGCTCGGGCATGGACCAGCCGTATTTGATGGTTGACCGGATAATCTGGAATTGGTAAGATATAGCTTAATTTAACCTCACCCTTTCTCACCGTTTTTTAGATAGACGAGAAAGTAACTGCAATTCATGAAAATGGTATCGAGCTGAATAATAATAACCACCTCCCTGGAATGTGATGACATCATTATTTGCACTGGCTATCACTACAAGTAAGAGAAATCCAAACCAAAACTCCAAATCCATTTAGTTTCCCGTTTCTAAGCCCAGAAATCGGGATCCGTGTCGAAGGAACAAGGAAAACGGGTGTCTGGCCTTTTCCTGCACATGGCTTCTAGAAGATATCCGGATTCTTTGTTCTTCATTGGGCTGCCATTCGTGTTGCCGTTTATTTTATTCCAAGCCCAGGTAGGCGAGGAGCGCCTACGTTTCGATGAATTTTTGCTTATATCAACCTCCAAACCCCTGTAAAATGCTGGAGCCCCATTTAGACGAGCTACGCGTTGGCGTTGATTGATGGAATTGTGCAACCACCTTCAGCTCAAGAAATGGAATCTGAAGAAGCGCAACGGATTCGGTGGGCAATACCGCTAGATTCGATCACGAAACAAACAAATTATTGTGTTTGTTTTTGGCTATTTTCGGCGAAAACTAAACGCAGAATCCATTTTTCGATAGAAACGCGAGTTTTTGATGTTTGAAAACTAGATTCTGCAAATTAACACCCAAAAACGACTAAACTAACTTCTATTCGGGCTATTTAGTGCCCTAAAGGACCGAAGCCTCTGATGAGGATGTACCACATGCTTGGCGCTGACCAGTGGGACTATTTCGAAGAGCTTCAGCAAAGAGGTCGGCTGCTTGCTTTCTCGAAAAGGAAGAGCTAACTAAATTCCTCTCTAAAACTCACAAAACACTTTACCTTTAGCAAAGCGTGATGACCCATTCTTTTCTTCGATGGTGCGCCATATATTTGAGCTGACTGCGGAGTTGCGAAAGGACGACATCGCAGCTTACAAGGACTTTTCATTCCATATTGTCGATGGCCATCTTTGCGTCGAGCAATAAAATGTATAAAACATTCAATCGCGCCACGGGTAAACTAAAAAGATCTAGAAAATTGGGCGGGTAACTAATTTATAAGATTTGTGGCCCTAAAGAGGGCCGTTGGGTTGGGGGTTTATTTCAATTCAATCACTCGCTTATTGCTGCTGGGTGCTCGCGGTGTACTTGGAAAGGGCCTTGGTGCCCTCGCTGACGGCGTGCTTCGCCAGCTCTCCCGGGAACACGAGGCGGACGGCCGTCTGCACGTCACGCGAGGCCATCGTCGTAGACTTTTTCGCGCGAATCAATTGATTGCTTTCCGAGGCAATGCGTTCGAAAATGTCATTGACGAGCGAGTCGAGCACTTGCATCGCCTTCATGCTCACGTTCATGTCGGGCATCGTGTCCTTGAGCGTTTGTGGATGTAAACGCGGGAAGGTTTCTTGACGACGCGATGACCTCTTTTTCTTCTTGTCGAGCTTGCTTTTGATGGGCTTGACGTCGCGGGCGGCGGCGGCCGGCGGAGTGGCGTCACGGGATGGAGCGTCGCGCGCCTCGTCCTTCACAACTTTCTTCGTGCGTGCCATTAGTGCTTCTTTCTTGCAAAAAGGGCATAAATCCAAAGAATCGCATTTTCGGCTTTTATAGTTGGAGTGGGAAGGGGCGTGGCCTATTTTCCCTGAGGCTACACGGTACGCCAGGCCCCGCCCCCTCCCCTCCCCGACTATAAAAGGAATTTCGCCCGCCATCGGAATATATCGTGCACTATCCACGAAAACATCAAGCTCGAAATGCCGCCCAAGTCTGCTGCGAAGACCACGACGAAGAAGCCTCCCACTCCCCAAGTGGCCAAGTCCGTCGGCCGCCCGCCCCGCGCCGTCGGCGACAAGAAGCAAAAGAAGAAGGCCCAGAAGCAGTCGTTCGGCATCTACCTCTACCGCGTTCTCAAGCAGGTCCACCCGGGCACCGGCATCTCTTCGAAGGCCATGTCCATCCTCAACTCGTTCGTCAACGATATCTTCGAGCGTATCGCCCAAGAAGCCTCCAAGTTGGCCCACTACTACAAGCGGATCACACTGTCTTCCTCAGCGAAATCCAAACGGCTGTCCGACTCGTGTTGCCCGGTGAGCTGGCGAAGCATGCGGTGTCGGAGGGAACGAAGGCTGTCACCAAGTACACTTCTTCCAAGTAATCGATGCTATTAGAAAATATACACTCAACCCAACGGCCCCTTTAGGGCCACAATTTTTTCAAAAGCTCTATTGTCTAACGAGTTGCTTACGACAAGCTTACTAAAGTCTTCCTAATTTGCTGGACATGACCGTTTGGCAACGGCATTATAACAACACCATTTTCCTCTGTATATGGAGAAATCGTTGTTGCGCAAACGTAGCTTTCTCCAAGTTGCGCATCTTCTGCCATGATCCCGTTTTTGCAGTTGGTGCTCGCCAGTTCTCTGTCTTCCTGTAGAGGGAACGCTCATTGTCGGGCTTTCAACCCGAGGATCCATGGGCGCCGGAATCCATTTAGTTACCTCTGAATGTGCCCACTTGCCTCCGTAAAATCATTTGCGGTGAGTGCAAATTTAGTTGATCGTCAGTCTCGTCGTTGTGCGCAATCGGAACTAGCGGATTAACAATTTATCCGCGAGTTTATCCAAATCCGTGCCTCAACGTGAACGAAAAGGAAAGTTTTAAAAGTTTGAAAATTTCCGGGAAGCCTGCCGGCAGGCAAAATGAAAGACATAACGAAAGACAACCTGGAAAAGCAGAAAATACACACACATAAATACGGGCATGGAAATTCACACGTTGGGGTTAGCATCGTGCAAAAAAGATTTTTCGAATGTGTTCGGCAATGTATCGAAAGGCGAGGTAGGCTCGGCGAAGTTGAGGGCTGTCCCACGACAGAAGGGTCTCGAGGAAACGCACCTGAAAGTGACAATAATTCCGCACAAATGGAATAACGTACCAAGCGATATTGCTCGTTGAACGTCAACTGCTGCGCGAAGAAATCGACCATCCCATCCGTGTCGGCCATATATTTGACGAGTTTCGGTTCGATCCAGACATAGTTGTTGTCGTTCTTGCGCGTCACATGTACATCGTCGCCGTACTCAGTCAACTCAGTCGGCTTCTGAAAAAAAACAGGGCGAGACGTTGAAAGGCAAAAACAGCTTACATTGGCATCAATTTCTATCGTGTAATCATGGTAATAGATGGGGATTCGGCCCGGGAACACCAGAATTGGGTTCGTCTGACGATATATCGGCGGTATCGTGGTCAGGATAGGCTGCTGAAAAAGGCGAATTTAGAAAATTCACAAACTGAAAATTACGTTTTCAAAGGCTTGGTCGAAGACTCCGCCCCTACATTCCTCCAGCAGCGGATAGTAGGAAATGAGCTGAGCGTTGTTCTGAAAAAAAACATTGTAAGCGAGAAAGCAATCGAACGTACCTCTTCCACTTTCAGCGCTAATTTTGGGACCCAAATATCGCGGCGATGATCTCCCCGGATGCCCACAAATTCGACAATGCCCGCCTGGCAAAGATGCTCAAAGACGACGATGTTGTCCACTTTCTGGAAATGCAGAAGTTCTCAAAGCCGCCGAAAATTCTATTCTACCTTTTCCCCTTCAGCCCAATTGTCGGGATGGTACATTAATGGGAACAGCACGACGACTTTATGGCCAGTAAGTAGGTAGTAGTAGACGGCATTGAGAATCGGTCGCATATAGAGTCGCTGAAAAAGACATTGAGAATTAAAGACAAAAATACCTGCTCAGGATCGAAGTGATCCTTTTCCCAGAACTGTAGCACACGCCCGGAAAAAAGGCCACCATAGCTGAAGGACAATCCGACGGTATCTATCAGGGGTTATTCGAGTACATTCCATAGAGTGCGCACCCAATGTAGACAAGTCGTAGGGCAAGTGGTCCCGCTGCGCGACTTCCATCGGAAATTCGTCCCAGTCGCCGAGTAGACTTCCCTCGGGGATCCCCGCCAGTTCTGGCAACAAATTCTTTACCTAAAGATTCGTCAAGATAAAGAATTAACACATACATTTTCGAAGATGGCCGCCTCCACCGGATATTTCGCCTTATCGACATCACCTCCACTCTAAAAACAACGATTATTTAACTTATGAAAGCAAACCACAAGAAGGTCGATGATTTGACGCGATGCTTCATATTCTTCTATATTCCTTGTAGACTGGTAGTGCCGCAGTGCGTTGAATAGCGTCTCTTCAAAGGGCCATGCTTCGTGTCTTCGGACGGTCTCAACAAATTTCTCGGAGACCGCCAGTCCTGGGCCGCCTTGCGTTAGGTCCTGGAAGCAACTTGGCCGGGGCCGCTGGGGCACGAGGGGCACCTCATCGTTTAATGCCTACAAAATATTCTCATCCATAACAAGGGAAAAGCTTACCCAACGCGCCATCTTAATCGCCCGATCGGTTTCGTAGGAGACGCGTGCCTCTTCTTCTTGCATGCTGAGAGATTGATACCATCTGATAAAAGAAATTAGAGCTCAAACTCTAAAAAAATACCTGGTCCCGTGGAAAAGCTGCGCGCAGCGCTGCTGGGCGCGTTTGGGTTCCATCGAGAAAACTTGCCTGTAAAATAAGTCTGTATCGAGGAAAAGAACAAAGAAGAAACACGACGATGGTAAAATAAACTACTAACTTTTGGAGAAAGTTGATAAATTATTCGATTTTGAGAGAGCCACCTAATTAAAAAGGGGCAGTGGAGCAGGCGTTTGTATCGCGTAAGCAATCACGATTGGTCATCGAACGAGCCCTTGCGGCCTGGGAAAAAGCCACAAACTCGCGAAAAGCACAAATTGGACGGGGAAAAGGGAAACGTCAGGAAAGTTAGTGGATCACACTATAATAAAGGGTGTTGCGCAATAATAAGAAGATACTAAGGATAAGTGAAAAAATTTTCTCGCTAAAATATGGTTTTTAGACTAAATATGTTTTTGAAGCGATAAAAAAATTCGAGATTTCCATGCTACGGGGCAAAAAATGACAAATTCCGTAATTAGGTATAGCGCGGAGCGTTTCAAAATTCTGGGGAATTTGACGAATGCTTATCAACCGCTCCTTTCTATCGCAAACTAATTATATTTTCATTTTATTTTATTCATTCTTCTCATTTTTCAACACAAAAAAACCCTGTGCTTTTTCAGATACGCATGACGGAGGAGCGAATCAACTGGGTGGTCATCGGCAGCAGCAGCGACGAAGAGAATGGGGGCGTGACGGCGCGAGCGGGCAACAACCCGGCCGAGAGCCCGCCAAGAACCCCCTGCCCCTCCCGCCAACAACCTCCCAATCGCACAACCAGAAGAGGTCGTGCTGCTCGACTCGTCGGCCGACGCTTCGGTGGAAATTCTGGAAACTTCGCAAGTATCTGGCCTGTCCCAAGAATCAGCACCTGCCGAGGCTCAAGAATCCAGCTCATCCGGTGACGGACGGCAATCCGAGTCTTCTTCGGATGACTCGTCGAGCTTGCAGTCCCTTTCGGACGATGATCAGCCCTCTCCGGGAAGGAAATTGCCAGTATTCAGGACTGCACGACGCTGTGAAAACAAGCCAATAGCTGGGTGGATTGGCTGCCGCGACCCGAGCCCGCAGACAGAAAAGCAACCACCACTACTATGGAAAGCGCCAAAAAGCCGCAGAATGAGCCTAACAGCTCGGCAGCGCCAAAGAGCAAAGCTACAGCCAAGAAAAAGAAGGAGCGACGTCAGTGGGATAAACCCGACTTTTTATTCGAGTCCTCGACGGAAGAAGAGGAGCCGGAGCGGGAAGCTGTCGCGGACTTTGATCCTATGGGGTGGAGTTCATCGGATTCTGATACATCATCGTCGCTTGATGAATCAGCAGATGATTGCGTAATTATAGCCGCCGATCCGGCCATTGAAGCTGCGCCGCCACAACATGCAACACTTGGTATATTCCTATTATTTCACCATTATTGTGTCTTTTAGTGACAGGAGAGGCGAGTACCTCGGATTGTCAAATTATTTTCGCCGCTCCAACAGCCGATGAAGCTCGGGGTATTTCATTCACTATTGTTTTTGGTTATGATCCTTTTATAGCTGCGAAAAAGGAGGCAGCCCTGCATCGCTTCGATGAGTTGAAGGCACGTTTTCTAGAATTGAGGAAAGTCAGCTATTTAGAAACATCTTCCTCCTACTCTGCCTGAACCCGCCCAGCCCGACATCGATGCAATCGTAAGACCAACCGCTGTTTCGACTTTTTCTGTGATTTTTTAGTATTGGGATCACTGCCCAATCCGCCATAACAAGACCTCTTGGCTTATCAAGGAGTTGCACAATAGGTAACAGCACGTTCGTGACACTTAGCTTTTTCAGGTCGGCTGAAGAATTCGGGGCACTCATCTATGGTCTGACCCAAGAGTCCCCAAAGCACCTGGAAAGCGCCTTCCTGGGAGGTGTTCCTACCCCACTGCATGTCGCTATTTGCCAAAGAAAAATCGAGGTGATACTTTCTGAGATTGTTGGCAAATGCGTTTAGTATCTAAAAGCGATGTTCGAATTGGCTCGTGATATTGAGATGGTGCGCGAGTTACTCTACTATGCATTCATGATGCCTCCACACCGTATGACCGGCCTAAAGTAGGTCTGCATGGCGTCCTACTGATTTTTTGTTTGGTTAGGATGAACCCGTTCCTGTTGGTGGCCAACAACTCGGCGATGTGGCGCGATCTGACGGCCCGCGGACGATTCCAGAAGCGAGATACGCAGCCAGGTTCCAGGAATCGTTTGAAATCTGTACGGGAATTTAGTTGATTGCGAGATCTTGAAGCTGCTGACCACATTTTGCGAACGACTGCGGCGCGATGTCTCGATTTTGCCCTGGATTGAGCCACAGGCCAAAGGCAGCTTCTTCCCGTTTTGGCGACCAAATCCACCACGGGATGCACCGGAGGTAAATCTAAGCTCCTTCTTTTTCGTTTTAAAGCGTTGCCCAACCGTGATTTTCAAGTGCCCACTTGCGGTTGCAGCCGGAAACGGCGATTTCGAGCTCTTCGAGCAGTTCCTGACGTATCCGAATCATCGCTACGCTTTCGATGACAATCAACAAGGCGCCATTCAACTATTGCAGCTCGAGTATGTCCTTCTCTGCGCGCTGTCAACCGGTAAATTGACAGTCGTTTGTGTAAATGGTTTCTTAAAGGCTCCGTCGAAATCTTCGATCGCATCTCCAAAGGAGTTGAGCGTCTACTACCGGCCATCGTTCCTGCCGGCTTTAGCGGGATTGGCACGGTAACCACGGTTCCTTCAGTAACGCCGAGTTTTTTAGTTCAAGCTTGCAAAAACGAAAAACCTACGTGGGGATCGATTCGCTGATGACGGCTGTGGCTCGATTCGGGGACAAAAAATTGGTCAGTTCTATTTTCTACAAAAGCTGTTTTGGTATGTGGCTAACCAACTTTTTTTTCTTTGCGTCTGATCTTTCAAATGTTTGAAGTGGGTGCTAATGCAGTTAGGGGGGGGGGGCAGTCCGAAATTGGTAGTAAGGGGTTACGAGACGCTCCGCTTAAGCTACTTGGTTTTCTGCTTAAGCCTAGGCTTAACCTAGCTTTAACTAAGCTTAGCTTAGGCTTAGGCTTAAGCTTAAGCACAAGCTAAGCTTAACTTGAGCTTTAAATTGCCTTAGGTGGTCAAAATGGGGTCATTCAGGACTAAGCTTAGAGCTAAGCTTAGCTTGGCTCAAGCTAAGCTTAGACTTCGTTTTTATGAAGCTAAGCCTAGGCTTAGGCTTGGCTTAGCTTTTCCAGAGGCTTCGAGTTTAAAAAGCGGCATTTGGAGCGTCTTGTAGTCAAAATCGGGACTGCCCCCCCCCCCAAGTGCATTAGCACCTTGAAGTGTTTCTAAATGGGTTTTTGCTATTTAATCCTGAAAACTTTGCAAATTTTTATTAAAAAGTAGCAGAAATAAAGATTTTTCGAAGGAAAAATGGCCGGTTTTTGCAGAATGTCTACTTTTTTAAAACAATTTTACAATATTTAGATGGTTTTTCTTTTTGAAATTTATTAAATATTACCGACAACGCTATTAAGATACCTCTAGTTAGTCACTAGACATTTCAAGACTCTGCTAAAAAGTTCGCCCCTCCTAGATAATGCGAAAGAACTGTTGTTTTCATGTCCAACTCTTTTTTCAAGTTTAGGCCGCTACCGTCGAACAGTTCATCAGGAAAGCAAATGACTTCGGCTGGAATATCCCCCGGGACTCGCCGATTTCCGACGAAACCTATGAACAGGCCTGTGTGCGCCACAAAACGGTAATTTTGAGGTGGTTTTCGATTTCGCACTTTAGGCACATCTCTTGCTCCCCTCGGCTCCGATCGTTTGGCAAAACCAGCAACACGACTACATGGCGGAAGCTGTTGCTGCTGGATACATGTCAGTTTTTTATTAATTTTCAAGTTTTTCGATCGTTTTAGCGACGTTTTCCTGTATATTCCCGAACTTGAGCTGGGCATCGTCAAGTCTGATGCTCTTGTTCATGCGGTGGAGAATGGCAACCCGTTGCTGCTGAAGACGCTTCTCCACGCCGTCCACAATGCGCCCGTGGTACCTTTTTTGGCTTTTCCATCACGATCTATCTTTTCAGCGCCCAGAAGTCAAAAAGCAGAAGCTGATCGACGCACTTGTTCGTGCCATTCTTATCCGAGACGGCGAAATTGCGCAGCAGCTTCATGAGGATTCTCTGCTTGATTGGGTATTTTTCATTTTCAACGACATTTATCAAATTCCATTTTGAGGATTGCTTTGAGACGATCGTCTCCGGCGAGAACAAGATGACGGTTTGCCAGTGGGCCCAATGGCTGACCGACGACCTCGAAAAGAAAGAGAAGTCCGTCCCCGACTGGCTGAATTTCAAGAAACCCGGCGTCGCTGCCCCTGAAGCCTAACTGTCGAATCTGCCTTTTAATTTATTTAGGTAATTTTAATTTGTCTGCTTGTTGTAGTATTTATTGATCGTTGTTTTGTCTGGAAATGATGTTACTATCGATTCACACACTTGATCGCCTACACGTTGATGAAATAAATTTGATGTTGAACACTGTTGATGATTCTGTGAAAGTTGCACGGAATGGCCGGAAGTATTTGGATTTCTTTCAGTTTTTAGTCTTAATCTCTAGGTAGTAAGCAGGCGATGGCCAGTCCCGAGACAGTTTCACAATTTCCGCTTTGATTTATAGATTTCAACGTCTAACTCTCTTTTATGCCAAAATCACTGTTTCTCGTGGCAGATGTGAACGCCGTCACAGAACTTCTCGGCGTCTTCCTCTCGTGCTCGGGATCCTGCAACAGAAGCAGTTTTTAGAAAATAGCTTGAACACTCACCTTGAGCTGCTTCTCGATATTTTCGAGCTCATTCTTCACGACCCAGTCGCAGAAAATTTTTCCTAAATCGGGTTTTACGGTTTTCCTCCGATGGACGAAGTATCTTACCCTGCATGCCAGGGTTCTTGGCCTCGCAATTCTTAATGATGTCATCCTCATGCTCCTTCTAGAAACGGGATAGATTTCTGCTGATCTATTTTACTTTGATGATTTGTTACGAGGTGAGAGCAGATAGGGGCTGGATTGTTATTGGGGCGGGGGAGGGGGGTCAAAAGTTTAGCGATGGGCACAAAACAATTTATTTTCTTAGCTTCTACATGCTTAGAAGTAATGTCGATTTTAATTTTAATTAATTAGATTTATATTTATTAGTTAGTATTGTTTTTGTTTGCTAGTGTCTGATCGGCAAAATGTTATAACAATTTAAGCGTTTAAAATGGCATTTTGTGCATTTTTTGCACCGTGAAACTCGATTTTTGGCAATAATCTGGCATTTTTATACCCCCCGATAATCGTGTTGATTGATACTTACTAGGTTATCTCCTTCGTAGTTTTCTGCGTCTTCAACCACCGTCATGCAAACATTGCAGCCAAGGGTGTCGTCCCTGACAGCCGGGATAGCCAGCGAATAGCTCAACGTCGCGCAGGCGGCGAGCGCGATCAAAAGGCAGAGCGATTTCATCTTTACCTGAAGAGTGAAGATGTATTCAGCTTTTAGGTATCTTTTAACATGAAATTTATAAGCTTCTGGCTTTGGATTAATTAGCAAACGCTACAACTTTCGCACGATGATTTACCAGATCAACTTTTTATAACAATAGGCAATGGGCAAGGCGTCGTAATGAGTAGCGTCGCGCATTAGAACGTACTTTGTGGTTAGTTAGCTATTTAGGGTTTCCATGTCGAATTAGGAAATACGCGCGAAACAGCTAGGCCTTTTGTGTGTTTGAAAGAGGAATCCGCGCTTAGGATATTGATATAACTATATCTCGTCTATTGGGTGTTGTATGCTTAGGCTTAGGCTTAATTTAGGCATGAGCCTACTATATAACAATATTACTCCAATGAGACCAAAATTTAGCTATCGTATCCCCCGCAAAAGCAACCAAAAATCCACAAAACTGAAAGTTCAGGCCCAAAAGAGCGCGGCGGTGATAAGCGGAATGGCTGGGATGGCCCCACCCATGATATCCTTTATATCTTTGGACCCAGGCACTTCCTGTTATCGCCCAGGCCATCAAAAAAGGCTGCCGTCACTGGGGGGTGAATTCCAGAATTTGCCGATGTTTCGCGTCGGCTTCCCGGGTGGTGATCTCGCTATCTTTGTTAGGGCAGCACCAGAATACGGCGCCAAAAATTGCAGCCAAACAATTTTTACTAGTTCCGGGTCAGGAAAGGGAGCGAAAAAGGCACGTAACGGAAGCGTAGCCTAACGGAATTTTTAGAAAGGATACGCACATTTAGAGAAATACCGAGGCTGATAGTATTTTGGTCGTAAGAGCGCTATTCTGTCATGTATTGATGTTATACAATTTATTTTAAAATTGATTGAATAGAAATAAAAATTATATTATATTATATTTAAAATTAGACAACTTTTAAGCTAATTATCTCTTTTGAATTTATAGATTTCCTGGTTGCCGTTAGAAAGCCGGCGAAGTATTTTCATAGCTTACTGGGCTCGCGGTTTAATTAATAAGCTTGAGCTTAAGCTTGGTTTAACTTTACTTTAGCTCTTTTTACAGTAGACTTTAGCCCAGGCTTAGGTGGCACATAGGCTTGACTTATAATTAGCTTCGATTTTCCCTTAGAAACCGGAAGAGCTGGTCTTTTATCTGTGACGGGCAGCCTGGAATCGGGTATAGTTATTCTTCATTGAACTTGGCTTATCTTGTTAGGCCTTTTAGGCTTGGACTAGAACGAAGTCCAGGCTTCGGCTTGGCGTAGCGTATCGATAGGCGTCGAGCTTGGAGAACGGAGCCTTAAAAATGGCGTCTTCTAGCCCTCTTTTTAGCGGTTTCGAAGTTTTTTTCCGAGGCTTGCGAAGCCGTGCGTGCTTCGTCTAGTAGGGCATAAGTTTCCTGAAATCCTTCCGACCCCCACTGCCGAATTGTTGCATTGGGGGGACAATCCTCTTCCACCCACCTCCCCTGTAAATCCACTTTTCATCGACAGCCCTCCTTTGCTTCTCCTTTTCTTTCCCTTTCCTAATTCATGTCCATTTCCACGGTGTATTCCCGGGGGAACTTCCCCAATTTTTGTTTTGCTTTGTCCTCGGCAGGGTTTTAGAAACTTCCCTTTCCAACTGGCTACCGGCTACGGGACGTGGCTATGGACGGGTACTAGGAAAGTATGGGAAAATTTATAGATTTCACGGTGATACCTGGCCCTGTCAGAAGAGGTTGCGGACCATCCGGACCGGTTTTTAACGTTGATTTGATTTGAGAAAAATTATTGTTTTTTTTGCTTCGAAAATTTTAGCCCGTTTTGTCAAGGTCAAATTAGGCAAAAATTGATCAGCGCAAACACCGGTCAAGTTAAACTATTTTTGAATATTTCCTGCGTCATTTCCTAAATGATTCCTGCCAGCCTCCGAAAGAATCTCCGCTTGCTAGCCCTTTTTCAGAAATCCTAGTGTCTCTGCTAGCCAGCCCTCATCCCAACGTCTCAAGAATCTATGCCAGCTCGTCTTTTTGCCCAAGGTCCTAAACAATCTCTGCTAGCTTGCTTTCCTTTACGCGGTCCCCAGGAGTCTCTGCTAGCCTGCCGGAATTTCCGAAATGATCCCTGCTAGCCTCCCCCCTCAGAGGTGTTGCAGCCCGTCATTTTTTACGGGTGGCAGTTCGCGTTTCGAGCATTTCGGCGATGAGATGCTTGGAGGGGAAGAAGAAGAAATGTGAGCCACTCTTCCGCGATGCTCCACCGGACACCTGGGAGGAGGGGAATGAGTTGTGAGATGGAATCTGCCTTTCTCTCTCTCTCTCTCTCTCGCTCTCTCTCTCTCTCTCTCTCTCTCTGTCTCTCTCTCTCTCCAGACTAAAGACTCTAAAGGGATCGTGTCAGCTGTCGAGTCTCATGTTTGCTTTGTGAAGGGGAGACTATGGCTCATCCAACAATGACAATGACTAATTGCCCGCTTCCCACTAAATGGCAAAAATCCCATCTGGGGGTGGCAGGCTAGCCGGGATTCTTTGGGGAATGGCATTTTTGGGGGCAGGCTAGCCGTGAGCCTTTCAGCAAATGATTTCTGGACGGAAGCTAGCAGAGATTCTTTGAGAATGTCTCACGACGAGGTTAGATCTATGAAGTTTTTGGTGGGCCCGAAAATTCTGGGCAAGCTAGCCGAGTTACTTTGCGGAAATTGGAGTTGGGAGGCAAACTATCTGAGATTCTTTGAGAATATATCATGCGGGGGCCAGGCTAGTGAGGTTTCTACTGGAACTGAAAATTTCGGGGCAAGGTAACCGAGTTACTTGGCGGAAATTGGATTTGGGGGGCAAACTAGCTGAGATTATTTGGAGAAAATTTTTTCTGCAAGGCAAACTAGTGGTGATTCTTTGGGAACTCATAACTTTCGGGGCAGCTAGCCGAGTTATTTTGCGGAAATTGTAGTTTGGAGGGTAAGCTAGCTGAGATTTTTTGAGGAAAATTGGGTCTACAAACGGGGGATCAGCAATTCTGTAGGAAGTGACAAATTGGAGGACAAGCTAGCCGGATTCCTTTGCGGAAATTGGAATTCACGGCAGAGCATCTTTTTCAGATGTTATCTAAATTAGATTTGAAGGTTTTTTAGAATTTTGGATACGTGGAGGCAAGCTAGCGGAGATTCTTTAGGGAACAGTAGCAGCAAGGGTAAGCTAGCGGAGATGTTTTGGGGGGAATTTTATCTAAAAAGCAGGTTAGCCGAGACTTTTGGGGAAATTCCCGTTCGCCAGGTGGGCTAGCGGAGATTATTTAGGAAACCAGCAGCAAGGGCAAGCTAGCCGGGATGCTTTCCGGAAAATATTTTCTAGAAAGCAGGCTAGCCGAAACTTTTCGGGAAAATTGCGTGCTCAAGGCGGGCTAGCCGAGATTATTTGTGGAATTTTTTTTTTGATTCTTTGCCCCAAATTTCAAGGCTTTTTGCGGAAGTTTTACCCCCCGAGAGCAGACTAGCAGTGATTCTTTGGGGAAGCCAACGGAGAGTCTATCCCTTCCAAGCGGCCATTCATCCTTTTCCTCCCCGGAAACTAATGCCCGGGGCTTAAGAAACCCCCGGGAAGGTTGGGGCAGACTCGCCGAAAAATGTTTGTTTGGGATTATTGCTGCCTTTCGGAGATGGAGAAGAACTAAACAATGGTCTCAGCTGGGTTGCCTGTCCGTCTGGGTGTCCTAAAGGATCTTTGCTAGCTTTCCACCTATTCAGGTAATCTCTAGGTGTTTCTGCTAGCTCGCCCTCTGCTTCAGGACGCAAGAAATCTTTGCTAGTTAGCCTTGTCTTCTGGTGCTCCTAAAAAATTTTTGCCAGCTCGCGCTCTTCCCTGGATTCTCAAGGATCTCTGCTAGCTTGCCTTCTCTTCTGTTTTTCTTAAAGAATCCCGGCTAGCTAGCCTTGTCTGCTGGTGCTCCCAAGGAATCTCTGCTAGCTAGCCATGTCTTCTGGTGCTCCTAAAGCACCTCTGCTAGTTTGCCTTTTCTTCTGTTTTTCCTAGATAATCTCTGCTAGCTTGCCTTGTCCTTGCTTTGCCTTTTATCACGAATTCCTAAAGAATCGCCACTAGCTAATGTTTTTGCTCATTCCCAAAGAACCTCTGCTTGCTTGCCCTTACCTCTAAGGAAAAAAGGGCAGGCTAGCAGCGATGCTTTAGGCCGATTGAGAATTTACTTGTGCCTGGCCGTCGGCTTTTCCTCCTTTATGCCCTCGGCGGCTAGGGTGGAGGGATTGATTGGAGGATGTGTGTGTCTATGTCTCTCTCTCTCTCTCTCTCTCTCTCTCTCTCTCTCGCTCTAATCCCTCCCTTCCCTTCAAAAGCCCTCCCTCCATAGCCATCCTCCTCCTCGGCTTTTCCTGCCCCTCCGAAAAGAAAGAAACTAATAACGGGGCCGGCGGTGGCCACCCGATTTGGCCCCTCGCATTTCGTCCCCCGCTAAATTTTGGCCATATTTGCTATAAATATTTGTATTGTTTTAATGGCATCTGGCGCGTGGCCGAGTGGTGGCCTCGCAGGTTGATGCCCGAGGGTTCGATCCCCGGGCTTGTCAAATTTTTTGCTTTTTGTGTCCAAGCTTACGGCCAGTATTTGGGCTTCGGCGATGCTTAGGTTTGAAGCTTTAGGTTTTGTCTTATACTTAGGCTTACTTCGGGCTAAAAATAATACAGCTTAACCTACCTAGACTAGACTTAAGCCTAAGCCTAGGCTTCGTTTTGGTTGGGGCTTGGGCTTCGTTTTTGATTACGGTTTTAGCCTAGGCTTTACATAGGTTTGAGCTTCAGCTGAGGCTTTGGCTGGCTTGACTTTTCACTTTTTCTTAAGCTGGGACTTCGGTTGGGTCTGCGGCTTAGGATTGGGCTTCTTAGGTTTGAGGCTCGGCGTCAGGTTAAAGCGTCAACTTAAGCTTAGACTTCGGCATTGATTGAAGTTTACAAATTTTTAGGCTTACAAGGAGACGTTTTTTGGTGTGAATGGAGTTCTGAGTGGAAAC